TGTGGTGGGATGAGCAATTTTCTTGTGCAACTGCCCGGGTATGTATGTATATTACCATGCTCCAGGCTGCTGGCAACGAGCACCCCAGCTCCATCCATGCCATTTCATTCCATTCCATTCCATTCCGTTTCGTTTCATTCCGCTCTTGGGGTCCAGCGTCGTCGTTTCATCGCGCAATTTCCGCACAAGTGTTGGCAATATAAATATAGCGACAAAATATAAAAGTAATTTATGTTTGCGTCTTTCAATATAATTTCTATATGCATGAGGTGGTAGGCAGGCTGCAGTTGGCGGGCGGCACTAGGAGAGTTGTGGCGGAGCAGAGTGGTTCACCCACCTTCTTCTACGTGAAAAATGCATCCTGATGCGCTCGTTTGTATGCAGAAAAAACTGCATTTAATTTATTAAAATAAATATTTTCAAGCACTGCATCACGACAGATTTCAGTGTTGGATAACAGTGCATAAATTATGTATACCATCAATCGGTTAACCGGTTAACTGCTTGGGATTGGGATTGGGATTGAGCTTATCGCCAGCCTGGCTGGCATTCTCATGCATTAATTCATAATTAGGCATTTAAATTTGATTAATCAATTGGCTTGAGTTTTGGCCAGAGATTAAATATGTTTAGGCGGATATTTCATTTAATTTTAGCGTGGAGTGGATACGGTGCATAGCATAATCATGCGGCTGGCCACTGGCCACTGGCCACGCCTGTTGTCATTATCCTACCCCAAAGCGTCGGCTTTGCCAGACCGCAAATCCCCCCTCCCGGAGTGCCCCATCTGTCACTCACGCCACTCACCCATCCATTAGAGTATGTACATATGTACGTACCATATACAGTTGTACATATGTACAGCCACCATAGAGCACTCTCATGAATATATCAACAGGCAACTGGCGCACAACTTCACACGGGTACGAGGTGGATGACGGGAAGTCTAAATGCATTCAAATAAAATAGTACACAAAAAAAAAGCATAGCACACAGCATAAAGTTGTCACATCGCTTTAGGACTTTTGCATGCGACTGTGAAACAAATTTCCATTTGATTTGCCCGATTCCGTGTGCATTTCGAATTATTCGGATCCAGCGAAAATTTCATCGGTCGAAGCGTGGCTTCCACTTACCCAAGACATTGTATCTGGTTGGTTTAATTGATGGCCGAATAAAGACAGGCTAAATATGAGTCAACGAATCAAATCGTTGGCTTTCTGATTTCGTTCTGCCAACCCCAGTCATCATGGCTCGATCATTTCTCTATGCGGATTTCATATTTAGGATCTCAAACATAGCCTCAAAGGCTGAAGGCCAGCTAATGGATAGAACATGCGCCAACAGACACGAAATAGAGTCCCCATCAAAACGAATTTTCAGCCTAAATTATACATGATTTTGGACCATCCACCATCCACCATCCCCCATCCGCCATAAAGCACCCACATGGCATATTTTCACAGCTCATCAAGTATGCAAAGAGATAGAGACAGATGATAATTGAGAGAAGAGCAAAGAGAGATAGAGGGTAGAAGAGTGGCCTCTCGGCGGTAGGAGCAATTCAAAAAGTTAACAAATAAAATTATGCAAAAGGAGCAACAACAAAAACAAGTGCAAATCGGAGCAAAAAATAAAAGAAAAAGCGAACGAGTGCACAAACAAATTTTGGACGACGAGAAGCGGACGATGCGAGGGTAGAAAATAAAATCTCCGACTCTGTAATATGCCAAAAACTGTGTTCATAGTGTAAAAATGTCTATTTACATAGTCATGCATCATGGACAGCAGAAAGAGAGCGGGAGCAAGCGAGAAAGAGATGACGGAAGGACGCTTTAAGCGCTTAGTGCCCCGTGCGTTGACTCGTTGTGTAATAAAAGGCAAGGAAACTAAAAAATTAAAATATATGTATGGAAAAGTTCATAAATGTTTAAATGCTGAGCTAAAGCAAGAGAGGCACAGGCACAGCGAAAGAGAAATAAAGGCAGAGAGTGAGAAAAACAAAACAGTTGGCGAGAGAGAGAGAGCGGAGGAGGAGGAGGAGACGACACAGATTGCGGCAAAACTATTTGCAACAGCAGTGCAAAAGAACAAAATGCAAATAAATCCCCAAATGCCTGTTCCTCTTCCTGTTCCAGTGACTTGCTCTTCCCAGCAAATTTGTGCCACACTAAACAACAAGAACGGCAGGCAGGCGGCAGGCTGGCAGGCAGGCAGGAAGTTGTGTGGCACGTTCATTTTCACCTCTTGCCACTGCCCGTACTCCTGCCGCATGCCATGCCTCATGGCCCTGCCTCATGGCTCGTTTCCCAGCTGAAAGATAACCGAAAAATGGCTCCCACTCCCACTCCCACACTCACATCGCATGCTCGTATGTATGCAAAATATGCCCACCAGGTGGACACGCAGAGCACAGCAAAGCAAGGCAAAAAAAAAAAAAAAATGGAAAATAAAACTCAAAAAACATCTGCAAAATCTGTAGCAAAAATATTGTGCAATATTCTTGCAATTTCAAGATTGAGATTTGAAAATCATTTCAAAGCGAAAATAAAACACACACAAACTAGAGTCCAGTGTGGCATTCGTTGTTGTTCCGAAATGGTATTGGCAGCCATGGTGGAAAACAACCATCAAATATGCTCTAAAAAACTAGGTTTAAATCTACTTGAATAATTGGTTCAAGCTCTCAATAGTATTCCCTCTGGAGTACTGGGTGAACGCACACCATAAGCTGCCTCCTCCGATTACTCTGCCTCTCTCGCTCACAGTTAATTTCCAGCTGTGATTTCCCGAATATACATTTATGTACTGTGTTTCATTCAAGGCTCTCTAGCTCCTGCACACCTTTTTTTGTTGTTGGGAGCGGATTGAGTGGGTGTGGCGGCACTTTAATCGAAATCGCTTTGCCTCTACCCCCGAACGACCGGTTTTTATCTGCCCTGAGAGACTCCAACGGCGACACACCGGATTAACTTAAAGTGCCTCCGAACTGCTCTCTCCCCCCTACATCTCCTCTCTCTCTCTCTCTCTCTCTCTTTCTGCTGGCAAGTGTTCCCCAGCTTGAAACCATTGACAATCCGCTGACGTTTCCCCTCCCAATGCCCAATGCCGCAGAGGAAGGCACCGAAACGAACAAAATACAAATAAAAGCAGGCGCAAAAAAAGAACCAACAAAATAATAAAAGGTAGGACCACTCACACACTCACACACTCACACACACACACAGACACATATACTCACACTAACACGTGAAAGCATTTTGTCGGACCGGAAGTCGCATAATTTCAGAAGCGGAAAGAACTAATTTGATTGTATTTAGCACCATTCCGGGTAGCAGCATTCCGGAGAGAGAGAGAGAGAGTCCTGTGGGCTTAATGAGCAGCTTTTTAGATGCAATTAGCTGGCAGCAGCAAAAACAGGCATCCCTCCCTCGCTCCCTCTCCTCGAGTCGAGTCCGAAACGAGGGCTTGTGCGGTTTTACACATTTCACTTTCATCATTCGCATAAAGCCTTTCGTCCAGCTGCTCCATGGGGGGGGGGCGGGCGCATGGCGATGGCCAGTGTTTTTGGGGTTTGCACACAAAAAATCTGCTAACTTTTTAATGCGCTCAAATGCTGTCCGGACCGTACCGGACCGTACCGTACCGTACCGTAGAGCCTACAGCTGTGGCAGGGTTGGCAGGCAGAGTGGCAGCTACCAGCTACCACCAGTTACCAGTTAGCAGCTATGATGCGGCATGACAGCTGTGAAACTGTTGCAGATCCCCCAGCTGACAGCTGTTTTAGTGTCAGTTTCAGTTGATGTTTGCAGGAAAAACTATTTTACCATAAACTAATCCCTATCGCCACATAAATCTGTGCAATTTTTGACTGCTGCTGCGATTTTCCACGCCTGACAATGCTGCTTGCATTTGGATGGAGCTTTGCTGCTTAAGTAACTTTCCATTGTTAATCTTAGATATTGAACTGTCCAGTGTATGGCAAAAGGATTTAGTTATGAGGGTTATTGGTGGCACTTAATGGAGTTGCTATTATTATTTCTGCTGCATATTTGACTTTGAATAACAGCAACTGCTCGTCCCATCGAGCTAACAAACTAAAGTTCACTGAGGCAATATATTTTAATAAATAAATAAACCAGACAACGCTTGGCATTCCCGCACAAAGTTTTCAACTCAGTTTGTGCGAACATCCCGCAGAACATACCCATGGTTAATGATCTTACACCCCCCCACGCCCCCTCTCAGCACACAAAACCAGTTAATAATGCAAAAAAAAAAAAAAAAAAAAAAAAACTTTTATGGATAGAGTTGGGCGGCTGGGATTGACGTTGGGTTTGGGCTTAGGTAAGCCTTTTGACAAGCGTCGTCGCTGTCGCAGTCATAACTTTTATCGCTCTTGTTTGCTGTTTCTTTAATTGCTCATTATGCTGGCAGTCCACCCACTGCCCCGTGTCGCTGCCACCATTTTGCCGCTTTACAGCTTGCCACAATGAAACTTTTTAGTAGTTTTTTTTTTATAAGTATTTTTTGTAGACTCTTTTTGTTTTGTTTTTATTTTTTCCGCTGCATGTTTGATGCTTTCCAATGGCACATTTCCTGTCGCACGGGCGAAAACTTTCCCTTTCTTGTATGTTTTCCTATTCCTCAAATGAAAACGGCATACAAATGGTTCCAAGCACCGCAGACCAAACTGACCCTGCAGCCATCAACAACGAAAAGCGTTGAGCTAATTAAAATCATTTCATAAATTTGCCATTCCGTTGGGTGCGCCAAAATAAACGAATACACACAAAAAACAAGAAAACACCGAAATGACCGGAAGCAAACACGCAATGGGAGGATAGAGATGGAAACGTGAGGCCCAAAAACTCATCCAATTCATTTCGGGAGGGAGCGCAGTGACAGACGAGTATTTATGCCTTAACGTTCATTTCAAACAAGTAACTTTATATTATGATTCAGAGCCATTTAACAGTAACTTTTACTTCTATTTTCAGATATTTGAATCGTCCTTAAACCCACGTAAGTTCAACCACAGATTTGAAAGCAAATTTCAAAAATTTGTTGCTTTTTGCTTTGTTAATTCACTTTTTCGTTCCCCGTTTGACACTCTCAAAGTGCGGGCTGCTGTGGCGCACATCTCTAATAAACAGTGGAGTGAAATCGTGCAGGAGCAAGAAAAAAAGTGTGAATTAATGTGGGTCTAGTAGGCGCAGAGGGCGTGCCGGATGGCCGTTGAGCCTGCGGCCGGGGACGCGACACGTGCAACGAGCGTCGGCGCGTCAAATAGGAATTCATTAACAAAACGTTACACAAAATTTTAATTAAATATTAAAACATAAAAGTTTGCCAGGCAATATATTTGGTCTCGGGTTCTGGCGACATTATTTTTGGGAGACCATTGGGGTGGGGCCCCCAGGCGCCTCCCAGCCACCCACCTCCAGCCATGACATTGAGCTTTTGTTTCATGATGAAATCGAGCGGGGGATGGGGTGTGGACTGGAGTGGAGTTGTAGCTGGGCCTGGGGCAGTGCCAGTGCCAGTGCCAGTGCCAGTGGTTAGAGGTGGGTAGTCCAGTAATAGAAAATTAAGTTCTATTTATGTGCAAAAGTTGCTCATTAAAATCGAGCGGCCAAAAACTTTGATTAAACTTGTTCCACAGCCACTTTTATTCCATCTAATTCTTTTTTTCTCTCCCTCTCCCTCTCCGCTGCTGCTGCTGCTACTCGTTTACTCGGGGGCAACAGTTTGCTTTTATGCGACAAAACTTGTCGATAATTTAATTAGAGGAATATTCGGGCCGCCTCCAGAACTCGCTGGACACGAGTAAATGCCCGAACAATAAATGCCCAGAGGCGGAGAGAGAGGGACACAGAAAGAAGCACAACAAATTGGCCAAAAGACTTGAAAGTAGCTTTAGGGGCAGCGCTAGAAGTGGTGGGGCGTGGCAATTGCTGAGAATGAGCTCTGGAGCAGGGCGCTCCAGGGCGTTGCTGCCTTCGGCTGGCGGGCATTTAATGTATCTTTAATTTCCCCAGTGGTTCATGTCGCACACAATCAAATGAAGGAGGCATGCACCTACACACACACACACACACACACACGGAGATATATGTGTGTTGCCACAATTCTAGATCCAAGAGCAACCTGCAACAGAGCGGAATTTCTGCAGTAAAAGTTTCAATACAAAAACTTACATTTCTTTGGATTAAAAGTTAATTTCTGTGACTAAAAGCTGCTGCCTGAAAATGAAATATAATTCGAATCTGAATAAAGCTGACAAGTGGAAGAATATTATCTGCTGTGGCAGTGGAAAAACGAGTAGAATTGCTCAATATCAAACGCTGCTAAGCAGCTGAACAGCATAGTAGCAAGCTGAAGGATGGTCCACACACACACACACACACACACCAGCATATAGGGAGAAGCAATCACACATGAGTGGACGATTCTCGTCCTTATCCTACAGCATCAACATCGTCATCGTCATCGTCGGTCGACGGTCGACGGTCGTCGTCATCAGTGCGTATTAACGCCCATCCAAAATCCAAATACAAATTGGAATTCTGACTCTGCCACACAAGACAGAGATGGAATGATGGGTTAACAAGAGCCAGAGAGAGTGCGAGAGAGAGAGAGAGAGAGTGGGAATGGTAGCAGACAGACAGAGAGACAGAGAGAGGTAGCAGCCATTGCTATTTGGGTTAGTCGCAGTCGGAGTCGCCGATGAATGCCCTAGACAATAATAACGACTTGTAGTTAATGCCACAGCCGCTAAGCTAAGGAGCCAGGCGTAACGTGCCACTGGGGGAATTCCCACTGAAATAGAGACAGAGAAAAAAGAAAGCGAGTGGAAGCAGGAGAACCCTTTTTAATTCGAGTTTAAGACTTTTGGGGGCAAGAGGCTAATGATGCCGTTGGGGAAATGCCATTCTCAATGCCAATGGACACTGGCATTGCATCCAATTAACTCTGGACAACTCCCACACTCATCCACTCATCCACTCATCCACTCGTTTTGCAGTTTCAATAATCAATACGAACTTATTCATGAGTCATCTGGAAAGCAGCTGAAGCAACTCCTCTTACTCATCCATGGCTGCACAGAGCAGCCTTCAGAACTGCTCGTTCTCAAAAGGTTTCAAAGGTGCCACTGACTTTGATTTGATTGAGCACGAAATTTCCACATTTCCCCCATTTGCAAGCATGTCAAAACATGTCGGGCAGCAACAGAAAAGCGAGAACAAATTCAGAGAGAAAGAGGCAGAGGCAGAGGCAGAGGCAGAGCCAAAAGGCTGGCAGCACTCAGTGTCCATCAGTCAAGGGCTGAGATGGTTGAGTTGGCCCTAATACCCCGACTAGGCGTGTTCACGTGCCACGCCCCATGCACCATGCCACATGACACACATTGAATGCAACAAGCCAGCCGCCGAAACGAAAAACTACATGATGCAAATGTGAAATGTCGAACGTTGAACGTTTGATGAAGTCTTCAAATACTCTTCCCTGCCGACTGATAGATTGCAGATCTATTCTCGAGTATTTTAGCACATTCTTCCGCTTGGAATTATCTGCCCTGAAGGATCGTTCGTTGCCTTTAGATCGGGCAGGCCACACCCTTTTGGCGGCACACTTGTCAGCTAAATGGAACTACCTCCGAGGTGGCAGTGCCAATAGGCAGCAGGAAGGAAGAGTGCAATCGCCGGGCTTGGCCTGGCCTGGCCAGAATCCACAACTGGAGCACATCAATGGGGATTTATAAAAAATGCAAATTCATTAGAGCAGCCTGGGCCTGGGCTACAACCGACCGCCTTCGAGTGCGGTGAGTGTTGAGTTGAGAGCTGGGAAAACTGCACAACTGAAAGCTCTCTGCCGAAAGAGAACTGCTCTACTAATTCCAATGGCTTGACACCAAAAAAAGGGAGGGAAGTGTAAAAAAGCAACAGCAGCCAGGGAGAGAGCTCGAGCTCGAGCACAAGCACGAGCCTGAATCCTCAATCTTAACGTGTCAGCGGCGTGTCCGGTCCGGTGAAAGTGCAACGTCAGGGGTTTGCCATACTTTCTTCTGGTTCTGTGGCAGCATTTTGAAATTAAAAAAGAAAAGAAAAGTAAAGAAAAGAACAGTCGCAGGCAAGGAGCGCGCATACATCAATGGCGCCTCCACTGACACGTACACATAAGATGCTCCCCCCCCCATCTGGCGGCTCCCTGCCTTTGGTGGTGTGTGTGTGTGTGTGTGTGTGTGTATGTTTTCTTGCACTTTCAAGCGGTGTGCAGCTGTCACTTGTGTATCTGCGGTTGGTTTGTTGGTGGCACACAAAGCGGAGATAACTTTTCCGGTGCATTGCAAATGAAATTCAAATTCGTTGCATACTTTGTGGCGCGCATTAAGCTTAAGACAACGCCAAGCCCCTCCCCTGCACCAACCACTAATAGCAGCTCCATGCAGCCACAAAGTATGCTTTTCGGTGTAATGAAGCTGCCGCAGCATGGGGCAGAGCCCTGCCAGACAAAAGAGTGAATACTGATGGTGGGGTGGCAACGGCAACGGCAACGGCAACGGCAAAGGCAACATCACCAACAGATTCTGTAAACTTCAGAAAAACTCTTTCGCGGCAGTCATAAGTTCAATCAACATCAAATTTAATTAAAACGCTAAAAGCATCCGACACGCCCACAAGCGCACAAAAAAAGAGAGCGAGAGAGAGAGGGAAATAAAAAGGAGCAAATGGCCACGAAGGATGCCGCGAAGAGAGGCGGCGGAGAAGGAGACGAGAACGGAGGCAACATTAAAACGGAAATAATTGTGGTCTGCAGACCGGACAGCAGACCAGACACGGCACTCCAGGAGAGTCCCGGGAGAAACGCAAAAGGGTCTGCAAGTGGCGAGGGTCTCAGGGATAGGGAGAACAATATGCGGTAGGAGTCTGTGGGGGGAAGAGTCTCTGTGGAAGAGTCTGACGCAGTCTGGGGGCAGAGACAACGACATTTGCCACACTTTTGGTTTGATAATTAAGTAGCCAAATGGCAGACAGACAGGCAGAAGGGTGGCCACTGGGCAGGGGGCAAGGCTGCGTCTGGGTGACGGCGAGGAGTGGACAAAGCTAATCATAGTTAAAGAAATGCTGATGGCAGTATTATTGTAACTCCCCTCCGAGCGATGCTTAACAATTGAAATCAAAGCAGAGAACGACAACAAATTGACAGAAATAAGCCAGGCTTACAGGGCAGAGGGAGAGGGAGAGAGAGCGAAATGAACGGCACTGCTTAGCCCCGCTTTAAGCTGTGGCTTTAAAACTGTGTATGTGTTTGGGGGGGGGTTTGACAAGTAGTTTACGGGTAACTGCTTTACTGCTTCAAGCAGCTCACATTTACTTGGCAGCTTAAGCAGTGCAATTAATGTGGATCGCAAGCACTCGCAAGCAGTGCTGGAGGGGTAATGTTGGGGAATTGTCGACTGCTTTAAGCAGGGATTTTGCCCTCCCCTCAATTGTAAGCAGCTTGCAGTACCGTGCCATCAAGCAGTTCAAGCAATGCAGCTGCTTGCAGCTTAGATTCGGATTAATTTTTCCATCTTCGATGACATCATCACCCATACCCTTTTTGGCTAAAAAACAAACAAGAGAACAAAGTATAAACACATTTGTCTGCCCATTCTGTTTGCCCACTATCCCCTGCTCCTCCCCTTAAACAGACTGCAACCTCTTGGCTGCGCTCCCCGTCTGCCACAAACTTCAGTGGCATGCTCAGTTTCAATTTGGCTTTCGTGTAAGTGCAACACACGTGAGCTTGGTTGCAACAATAGAAAAATTACATGGCCAGAGAGGGGGTAGCGCGGGGAGGGGAAGAGCGTTCATCTTGTAAGTAAAAATAAAGGCACGTGGGCTAGAGGCGGGGTGGGGTGGGGTGGCAAGCACAAGTGGAACAGCAGCCAGACTCAGTTAGTGGCAAAAGTTTGCCGCTTTGCAACACTTGAGAGTGCCAGGGAGAGGAGTGTCGAGTAAGCAGTGCGATTCTGTGCT